CTGGCTTATCAAACAAACACCTTTCATTTTATCACACATCATTTCCACTTTTAGAAGAAACTGTTATTTTAAATATAACTTATATAAAAATTTATTATTATTATTTAATATTTAATTTAAAATATGCTTAAATATATGTTATTACTGTCAATATAGTAATTTTTGATTTAATAATACGTATTACTTTATTGAAAAATCAAGATTCTTACTATAAAACCTCCATACACATTATTTTTTTTAGTGTTTTTAAATTTTATTAGGCCAATTTCAAATACACACAAAACTATTGTCAGCTGCAGTTTAATACTTTAAATTCATAATTGGTAGTGTAAAAAAGGTATATAAAGACTAATATTTGCTAACTCACATTTGATGTGGGAATCTATTGCAATAGACATGGATCTTGAATACTTACAACCAGAACAACAAAGACATAATTATCTATTTTTACCACCTTTTTTTTACTTTTCCGCTCAAGCTATATGTTCACTGTACTCATTGATTGGATTTAGTAATTGAAATTGGACTCTCATGCTCACATCAATCTCGCATCTTCTCACGAATTCATTTCCATTACAGTAAAAGTTCATAGCTGCTAGAATAGCAGGGTCATGGTTGCTAGAATAACAAGTTATATGTTCACTTCCATTACGTGTATGTTGATACTTTAAAAGTCACACTATCCAAAGTAATGATATCTCACGTGGATTTGATAACTGCTACAATAGTAGGGTCTATAAAATTTTCCCACTTCCAAGAGAATATAACATTTTGAATTAAAGAAGTAATAATAACTTTCAATAGCACCATTTAGATTTCCAAAGTAGAGAGAAGAGGGAGAATCAAAAACACAATTATAAAAACGACATTCCTCTTATTAGTTGTCTTATGAATCAGGAACCAAGCTTTGATTAATTAACTGTCTTATGAATCACATGCATTGAAAGAGATGTGGGTTGAACATAGCATTTGTATCTTCTTATTGTCTAGATACCACACATTTTGAAACACTCTGGGTTGACATAACCTTTGCATTGGTGGCAGAATCACAGTATGAAAGATTTGAGAATAACCTTTGTATTTGTGTGTGTGAAACATTTTCAATATATGTGTCTTGAAACATGAATCATGAATTTATGGAATAATGAATGGATGATGTTCTTGCAAGAAATTGTTCTATGTATGCATGCATGTATTGTATTGTTGAAATACTTAGGTTCATAAGCAATATAGTCTCACATCGAATGTGGATTAACAAATATCAGTCTTTATATACTTTTTTCACACTACCCATTATGATTTTGAAGTATTGGGCTGCAGCTAGGGCTGGAAATGAGTCAAGTCGAGTCGAACTCACCTCAGCTCGACTCGACTCGTTAAGAATTATTCGAATTCGAGTTCGAGTTCGAGTTTGACATGAACTTTTTTTTAAGCTCAAACTCGACTCGTTATAAGTTCACGAACAGTTCGGTTCGACTCGTTAGGTTCATCTCATTAGGTTCAGCTCACATGATTCACGAACTTAAAAACTATTTTTTTAAATATATATATACATTTTTTAGTATATTTGACATTTTAAATAAATATATATATTTTAAATAAATATATATATTTTAAATAAAATATTAAAATAAAATAAAAGTTATCATATTGAAATTTAACTTAATCTTCGAAATCTATTAATTCAAAACCTACACAACTTTCAAGAGATACATTTGAGAGTCTAATTCAAAAACTACTAAATTGAAGATTAAATTTGTCTAAGATTTGAAGTAAATATTTAAACCTAATCTTAAAGACAGTATAATTCTTTTCATATGTAATCGAGTTGACTCATGAAGCTAACGAGTCAAACTATGTATAGTTCAAGTTCAGCTCATTTAGTTAACGAACTTAATTTTTTGCTCATACTCAACTCATTTGGTTCATGAACCTAGTTCAACGATTTAATTGTCGAGTCAAATTTCGAACTATTTTCGAGTTGGTTTGGTTCATTGCCAGCCCTAACTGCCGCTGACAATGGTCTTTTGTGTGTTTAAAATTGGTCAAATGAAAATGATTTTTAAAATAAAAATTTAAAAACAATAAAAATAAAAGTAAAAAATATCAATTTAGATTTTAAATAAGAAATAAATTTATAAAAAAAAAATCACTTTGACTGCTACATCACCCATAAATAAAACCTGGACTGAAATAATGCGTACGAGGGCTTACAGGAAAAATCTTGATTTTTTAAGAGAGATAATAAAAAAATTCTTATAGAAAATAAATCAAAACTCAACATTTATTTAACCCTATAAAATATTTTTATTGTCAATCAATACATATAAATTAATTTCTTTTTTGTAGACATATAAATAAATTTCTATTCATATATCTTCTATTTTTTTAATGCAAAAGTTTTAAAAAATAAAAGGAATATAAATAAAATTGATTGTAATAATAAGAAATAATCAAAACATATATATGTGTTTGGATATTCATCAACCTATAGAAATTAATTTATATGTATTAATTGGCAATAAAAATATTTTATAGGATTAAATAAATGTTGACTTTTGATTTTATCCTCTATAAGAATTTTTTTATTACCTCCCTTAAAAAATTAAGATTTCTTCCGCGCAGTATTTAAGTTCAGATTTCATTCATGTAGACATATAAATAAATTTCTATTCATATATCTTCTATTTTTTTGAATGCAAAAATTTAAAAATAAAAGGAATATAAATTAAATTAATTGTAATAATAAGAAAAAATTAATATATATATATATATATATATATATATATATATATATATATATATATATATATATATATATATATATATATATATATATATATATATATATATATATATATATATATATATATATATATATATATATATGTTTTTTTTTTGGAATATTCATCGATTGCGTTGAAAAACTAAAATTTAAAAGTTTTAAATAATTACATTAATATTTTCAAGTTTTTCGTAACACAAAACCAAACACATATTAAAATATAATAAAATTATTCATAAAAATTGTTATTAGCATTCCAATAATTATTCTCACCACAACAAATACATAAAATAAACAAATTATAAATAAAATTAATTACATTGATAAAAAATAATCAAAATAAAAGATATGATAGAATTTTTATAAAGTTAAGATTGACATTAAAATAATTATTCTTACCACAACACAAACAAGAGATAATATCCAACAAAGAAAATACGTGGTTTTTCATAAAATAAATAAATTATAAATAAAATTAATTACATTAATAAAAAATAATCAAAATAAAAGATGTCATAGAATTTTCATAAAGTTAAAATTGGTATTAAAATAATTAGTCTCACCCCAATTCAAACAAGACATATTATCCAAAAAGATAATAAATGGATTTCCATAAAGTAAATGAATTATAAATAAAATTAATTACATTAATAAAAAATAATCAAAATAAAAAATATGATAGAATTTTCTTTAAGATTGACATCAAAATAATTATTCTTATCACAATCCATATAATCCAGCAAAGAAAATACTGGATTTTCATAAAATAAATGAATTATGAATGAAATTAATATCAAAATAAAAGATAGGATAGAATTTTCATAAAGTTAAGATTGACATCAAAAGAATTATTCTTATTACAACCCAAACAAGAAATATTATCCAACAAAGAAAATACTGGATTTCCATAAAATAAATGAATTATGAATAAAAATAATTATATTAATAAAATAAAATCAAAATAAAAGATATAATAAAATTTTCATAAGGTTAAAATCACCCCAACCCAAACAAGACATATTATCCGACAAAGAAAATACATAAATTTTCATTAAAAAAATGAATTATATATAAAATTATTTACATTAATAAAAATAGTCAAAATAAACGATATATAGAATTTCATAAATTAAAGATTGACATTAAAATAATTACTCTCACCACAACCCAAACAAAACATATTATCCAACAAAGAAAATACATAAATAAAATTAATTACATTACTAAAAAATAATCTAAATAAAAGATACGATAGAATTTTCATGACATTAAAATAATTATTCTCACCACAATCTAAACAAAACATATTCTCCAGGAACGTGGATTTCCATAAAATTTAATGCAATAAAAATAAAAATCCAATCATTATCTTTATTTAAAAATTTTAAAATGAAAAATGAACTCATTTTATTTTATTTTGGTGGCTCGTTAAACACAAAAATGATCACAATTAATTAAAATGTGGTAGTACTAACTACTTTACTAGCTACCCTAACAACATTCATTTATTGAACTTTATAAGTATAACCATATTTTCAAAGTCCAATACATAGCTACTAAAATGCGACAAAAACAGTAACAGGGTAGGCAAGAATCATAGGAAGAAGACAGCACCAGATCTGAGCAGGACGACCATGACACTGACCATTTTTTAAGATATTCTCACAATCATTAAACTATAGTATCTATTTTAATCATAATATAAATCATTATACGTGGCGTGCCCTTCTATATACGTAGAATAATTACATCATATTAACCTATTAATCATAACTTAACTAGTTAATTAACAACAATAATATAAAACAAAAACCATTTGTTTTGATTCTCTTCTCACTCTTGAAGTTTATATCAATTTGAAGCTACAACTACTTTTTTTAACAAAGCGGTTAAGCAACAACCTCTAATACTTACACGCATGTGATAAAAAGAGACAAATATTTTGTATAACAAAACAAACCAATTTCTATTTTATGATTTTGTTTTATTTTTCTATTTAAAAAAGGAATCACATTTAATTTATATATTTTTTTATTATTATTTTGCTGTATTCCAAACTCAGACATTTTTATTGCATTTACTTGAAGATAAGCGTGTCATTAAAACAAGAGGTTGAGCCTTTAAATACAGGAAGAAAGGTGGAAGGAATCATTCTTCATTAGCTTCTGTTGGTTTATACTCTATAGTTTGTTTGTTCCTAAACCCCAAAAAGATAATGAGAGCGACAGAGATTGCGTTGGTTTTGATTTGGTTTCTTGGTGTTTATGTTCCTGCTTGTTTTTGTACTAATGTTACCTATGATCATAGAGCATTGCTCATTGATGGAAAACGCAGGGTCTTAATTTCTGGTTCTATTCATTATCCTCGTAGTACTCCACAGGTCTCTTTCTCTATATGTCTCTAGTGTCTGACATGCTAAATGTCAGATACCATTAAGACTTATGTTTGTGTCGGTGTATGTGCTCATAGTTATTCAGTTTGTGTTTGATGTTTGAACTTAACAATGGTAGTATTGTTGTTATTGTAGATGTGGCCAGACCTTATTCAGAAATCCAAAGATGGAGGAATTGATATCATTGATACATATGTTTTCTGGAATTTACACGAACCGGTTCGAGGACAGGTTCTGTTCTTTTTCATTGTCTTTCCACTTTCATATGGCTGTTATGTCTCTTTTTATATTGCATTTTGTGAGTTTTCAAAATTAATGATGGATTACATATTTTGGCTTGGCAGTATAATTTTGAAGGTAGAGGGGATTTGGTTGGATTTGTGAAGGCAGTTGCAGCAGCAGGTCTGTATGTTCATCTCCGGATAGGTCCATACGCATGTGCTGAATGGAATTACGGGTAAAATTGGATCAATGTATCATTTTTAAGAGTTTCATATTATTATTATCTAATCCTTGACTTTAACTTTTTTTTCTTAAACAGTGGCTTCCCTCTTTGGTTGCATTATATTCCGGGAATTAAGTTCAGAACTGATAATGAACCATTCAAGGAAGAAATGAAGCGGTTTACGGCGAAGATTGTGGATTTGATGAAGCAAGAGAAGCTCTATGCAACACAAGGAGGACCTATTATTTTATCTCAGGTTTCATTCTCTTAAAATCATAAAAATACAAGCCAGTTATTTGTTATGCCAGATTCTTAATAACCTAATGCATAGTCCTTGAATGTTAAAATATTTATTTGTTCATGCCAGATTGAAAATGAGTATGGAAACATTGATATAAGCTATGGTCCTGCTGCTAAAACCTACATCAATTGGGCAGGATCGATGGCTACATCTCTTGATACAGGTGTTCCCTGGGTTATGTGCCAGCAAGCAAATGCACCCGATCCAATTGTATGTTTTCTCCTTTTAGCTATCCACATAGTTTCACACAGTTTATGTTTTACTGGATTATATTTTTTTTAGCGAAAGGCGAAAGAATAGGTCTCTGTGTTAATTATATGGTTTCATTTCATTATCTTACCGTGTGGGTTTCTACATTCGTCCTACTTGATTGTTTATTTTCATAAGATTGTGTCTTGAATGCTCACAGATTAATACGTGCAATGGATTTTACTGCGATCAATTCACGCCAAACTCTAACCAGAAACCAAAAATGTGGACTGAGAATTGGACTGGATGGTTAGTAGTGACTTTTCCTATTTATATCATTTTGTAATTTGAATGGAGTACTCAAAATATGATTTGATTAAACTTTTTTTCCCAATTGCTACCTTTTGAAATCATAGGTTTCTTGCGTTTGGAGGTGCTGTGCCTTACAGACCTGTAGAAGATCTTGCATTTGCTGTTGCACGCTTTTTTCAGCGAGGTGGAACTTTACAAAATTACTACATGGTAATGCAACCTCGCATGTAGTGAGTGTTGTCATAGAGTGATTATACTGTGCTATAATTTGATCAAACGCTATAGTACTGCAACATAGTTGAATTTGAACAAACCGCTTTTTTTTTTGTGATTCCCTATCGACAACATTGCATGAAGTTTAAACTTGAAGTTTATATGTAAGATAGTAAACTAACTGATACCACAACTTTTTTTGCTTGCTTTGAAATAGTACCATGGAGGGACTAACTTTGGCCGAACAACTGGTGGACCTTTCATTTCTACGAGTTATGATTATGACGCACCTATTGATGAGTATGGTATGCAATCTTTCCACTATCATACTTATTTTGGTGGTATAGAAATGTAGAAAAATATAAACTGTGTTACTTCTTGATGCAGGAATTATTAGACAGCCCAAATGGGGCCATCTTAAAGATTTGCATAAGGCCATAAAGCTTTGCGAAGAAGCACTGATAGCTACCGATCCAACAATTTCATCTCCTGGTCCAGATCTAGAGGTAATACATAAAAGGCCCTTTGAAGCTTCGGTCATAGTTTGTTCGTTTAAGTTTTACGTTACTCGGTGATATGAATGGTTTTGTTATATCTTTTAAGATATACTGTTCAATCTCAGACTGCAGTTTACAAGACAGGATCTGTATGTGTTGCCTTCCTTGCCAACATTGGCACGTCCGATGCAACGGTTACCTTCAATGGCGATTCATATCACTTGCCTGGATGGTCTGTGAGCATCTTACCAGATTGCAAGAGTGTTGTTCTAAATACTGCAAAGGTTTTCCTCATCAACTTCCAATCAAAACATATAGTTCAATTTACTAAACTGACTTTTAAACTTCGTGTGATTAATCAATCTATTGGTGATATCTTTTCTTCTATTTATTGTTTCGAAGTAAGTAGGATATACTAAAGTTATTTTTTTGTACGACAGATTAATTCTGCATCTATGTTTTCAAGCTTCGCAACTGAGTCTTTACAACAAGAGGTTGATTCTTTGGGAAATTCAAGTTCGGGATGGAGTTGGATTAGTGAACCGGTCGGCACTTCAAAGGCTGATACATTCTCAAAACCCGGACTAGTTGAGCAAATAAACATGACGGCGGATAAAAGTGACTACCTGTGGTACACAACAAGGTACAAGGGATTTCATGGTTGAGATAGCTTTATCTTGACGATTGTTTTTCCGTGCCCATGTTAACCTTTTTCAATTTGTTTTGAAGCATTGATGTTCAAGATATTTCCGGTGCTCAACCTGTTCTTCATATTGAATCCCTTGGTCATGCCCTTCATGCTTTTATAAACGGGAAACTTGCAGGTATCTTTCTTTACTTCAATGAAGTATCTCATGAATCATGTAATGGAATATCGATATGTTATCACCGAGAACTATTATTTCAGGGAGTGGAGTAGGAAGCAGCGGAAACGCTACGGTCAAGGTGGACATCCCTATTACACTTGTATCTGGGAAGAACAAGATCGATCTCCTGAGTTTAACAGTGGGACTACAGGTTCATATTTTCTGATTATAAAGTACAAAATAAGCATCTGCAACGATAAAATAATCATCTAGTAATTTCTCATTACTACATATCTACATCGGTTAATATGAATTTTACTCGCCACAGAACTATGGAGCTTTTTATGACTTAGTGGGCGCAGGGATCACTGGCCCAGTAACATTGAAAGGTTTGAAAAATGGAAGTACTGTTGATCTCTCCTCACAGCAATGGATGTATCAGGTTAGTTTCGGCTTAACTTAAGGCCTGTTTTTGTTTCCGCTTCTGTGTTTTTTCTTTTTGAAGTCATAGATTACATGTCTGTATTTTTTGTGAATGCAGATTGGTCTTCAAGGTGAAGATTTAGGTCTGTCTAGTGGAAGTGTTGGACAGTGGAATTCACAGTCCACCTTACCTACAAATCAACCTTTGACTTGGTACAAGGTAATCTTATTAAGAATAGAGCATTTGTTAAAATTCTCAAGTTTTTCTTCAGCTAACTAATCTCAATGTGTTATATTAGACAAACTTCATCGCTCCTTCTGGAAGTAACCCAGTTGCAATTGATTTCACGGGGTTGGGAAAAGGAGAAGCCTGGGTGAATGGACAGAGCATTGGGCGATACTGGCCAACATACGTCGCTCCAACTTCTGGTTGTACTGACTCATGCAATTATAGAGGATCCTATTCTTCATCGAAGTGTCTCAAGAACTGTGGAAAACCATCTCAGACATTGTAAGTGTTGGACATTGTTTTTTACATGAATCGCACCTAACTGGTGCTAGAATCATCGCACCTGAAAACTAATGTGCTTTGATTGTATATATGTAACTTTTCAAATAAAGCAGACCTTTTAGATACTCACTGAGTCACTGATTCTGCAGATATCATGTACCGCGGTCGTGGTTGCGATCAGACAGCAACATTCTCGTATTGTTCGAGGAAAAAGGAGGCGACCCTACAAAAATATCTTTTACTACAAAACAGATAGAAAGTGTGTGTTCACATGTATCAGAATCTCACCCTCCACCTATAGACACGTGGAATTCGGATACAGAATCAGGAAGAAAGGTTGGTCCCGTACTGTCATTGGAGTGCCCTTATCCTAATCAGGTGATTTCTTCAATTAAATTTGCAAGCTTTGGAACTCCTCATGGAACTTGCGGAAACTTCAACCATGGACGCTGCAGCAGCAAAAAGGCTCTAGCCATTGTGCAAAAGGCCTGCATTGGATCAAGAAGTTGTAACATCGGAGTGTCAAATAATGCATTTGGAAATCCATGCCGAGGAGTAACAAAGAGTTTAGCTGTTGAAGCTGCTTGTACATAGATCAAAATGATTCCTGATTAGCCCCAGTAAGATGCTATTGAAGTTGTAAACTAGAGGGGAATGTAAATGCAAAACAGTGCATTGTTCATTGCAATAAAATATTAGAAAAATAAGAAAGTGATCTCTAATATGCCTATGAGTTTTTATGCTATTTTTACACAAAAGTTTGGTTTCTGTCACACAATACAAGAAGTTGTTCTCATATCTCACACATAGGATAAGGATATAATCACTTTAACAAAAGATCAAAATTATGTATTCTTCACAACACAAAAGAAAGTACACATAAATATTAATCAGTACAAACTTCAACGAAAATATAGATCACGGGCAACATTTTAGGCCCTTATTTATCTGGAAACATTACAACACAGCAAAACCAAAATAAAAGGCATCACTGATTCAATCACAAAGCATCACTTTTATTTTTCACGATCCATGATATGATCAATATTGAGCAATCAGTCCTTGGCTAGTGGAAGGCCTCTGGAACCTGCAGAGCTTGCAGGATGTTGAAAAGAGAGATGGAGTTTGGTACTTGTCTTCTCCTCCCATCATTGGCATAGCAACACCTCTCTTTACAGGACTAACATAACTTGGCCTATAAGTTTGACCCAAAACTCCTTCAATAAAATCAGTAGGATTTTTAAACTTGAACTGTGTCTCCAAATGAGCAAAAGCATCATCTGATGGCAATTGGTAATTATGAGCTTTGTTTTCTTTTTCTCCAATAGGCCTTACCCTTATGTCGATTTCAAGCAAACCAGAAACTGTGACTCTAACACTGTTTTTATCATCTGTTCTCTCCACAGCCACTTCCCTTTCATCTCCATTAGTCTTCCATTCCGCGTCGTCGTCAGTAGGAATGGTTACTAATTCGCCGTCCCATTTCACGGTAAGAGAGTCAACATTGTCATTCCATTGAGTTACTCTATTGGCTGCAATAACAAGAGTGTGAGTGTCGAACATGACAGAAAGTGCTTGCACCCATGTGTAGTCGCGTGTCCTTCCTTGAGGTCGAGTGCCAATGAAGTGCGCGTTGATTTGGAATTCGTCGTCTGAAACTATGGCAAAGTTTCCTCCAGTGGCTCCGTGGAAGTAGAACATCACACCGTCACCACCAACAAAGCGAGGATCATAGCACAATGAACCAAAGCCATCACAGTTTCCTCTTCTAACTGCAAATAAAACACACAAACTCAACATTAATTCAGTATTCTGCTTGCTATATGTATACTAATTTTATGGAATAGCGAGATGAAAAAATAATGTATTTGACATTGTGACGTGGATCTGGATCAATGGATTAAGATTAGACGGTTCACATAAGTCAGGTCCAAAATATAAAGTCGGAGCATGAGTCGCCCGATGTTACTACCATATATATCTGAATATAGATAGATGTGAACTTACACTTGCAAGTGGCTTCACATTTGCTGCTGCAGTCAAGGAAACAACCTTTATTCTTCTTGTTCTTCTTTGGCTTCCTGATTTTGCACTCTTCTGGACATACAAGTGTCTTGAATTGACATGTATTTTTCGCTTTGCAGAATGCTCGCTCCTGTCCCGAAGGCAGAACTGGTATCTCTTCATACATTGCCGATTCATCATCTTTTGGTGTCTTTTTTTTTGCATCTTTCGCCTTCTCTTTTCCTTTCCCGCTGTTACCATTACCATTACCGTTGTTACCTTTACCATTACCATTACCGTTCCCATTGTTACCGTTATCATTACCATTACCGTTCCCGTTGCCGTTGCTCCCGTTGCCATTGCCATTTCCTTGGCCTTGAGCAATGGAAGCTTCCATGGAGATAAGTAAGACAAAGAAGGCCACCAAGATACTCAACTTTCCTCTAGCCATCTTTTGTTACTTTGCTATGCTTAGGATAAATTGATTGATGGAAAGATGCATGCGTTGAAGAGAATATATAGAGAAACTTTGGCATATGAGTATTGACCTAAAAGTTTGGCTTAAGATTAGCAAGTATCCTTTTTCTAACTACGCTTCTTAATAGTATTAAAAATGGCAACTAGATATTAAACAGATTAATTAACTCACTAACTTGATGTTTAAACAAGTCCTTCTGTAAGAGCGTGTGTTACTCTATATATTTTCTTTAGAAACAATAACAATGGAAATGGAACTTTTTCAAATCTCGAGGTTCAATTCTACAATACTACTCGTTAACGTTATGACTACGATAATGTCACGTAACTAAATTTATTGTTAGATTGTAGCCTTTGACAGTGGGAGAATTAGGAATGAAATTAGCTGCAACAACAGTGGTTTTATGTGTAGAATTTAGCGTTAGATTTATATAATTTTTTATAGGTTACAATCAATTGTGATTTACTTCTTTTAAAAACGGGTTAATGGTGATTCTGATAGGAGTAAGTGCATATATAAGCTCATTTATTAGTTAAGTGATTTCTTTTATAATTAAAAACTGAGTATTTCAAATCTGATTGGTGTGCATAGTGTGGGTTTTAATTTTATGTCCATAATAGATAGAGATTAGGGTGATATATATTGTATGACTAAATCCCCTACGTACTTAATGAATATTTTCACTTACATTTAATATTAGAGCATAATTATATGAGTTAGAACTCAATTATTTAAATTAATTGAGTTAAAACTTAATTATTTAAAATTAATTGAGTTAAAACTCAATTATTAGAATACAATTACATGAGTTAGAATTCAATTATTTAAAATTAATTATGTATCAAGGATTCCAATTATTTGAATCCACTTTTAAACCATTAATTTCTCTGGCACCATTCTTTTTAATTAAGTTTTTTTTTCAATTGATTTTTTTTTCCTTTTGCAAGTAAATAAGACGAATTTTTTTTAATATAATCAATTTTTTCAAACTAATTATCAAACAAAATAATATTTTAAAATATTTTTAAAAATAATCAACTTTTAACATTGGGTCGCCAATTAGTTTGACGAATCTTCATAACTTTTAATGTTGTCGCCATTTGGACTGGCGAAAACGTTTTAGGTTCAATGAATTCGCCAATTGAATTGGCGAATCAGACCTTTTCCTTTTTTTTTTCTTTTTTTTTTCGTTGCTAATTTTTCTTTTATATTTTTGTTTATTTTTATTTTTAAAAGTTTTATTTTATGTTTTTCATAATTAAAATATTATTTAAAATTTATTATTAATTTATTAAATAATCTAAAAAAAACTAAAAAATAAATAGTAAAACAAATGGAAAAATCTAAAAAAAAAACAAATGGAATAAATAGTAAAATATATTAATTTATAATAGAATATAAATTACATAAAATATTATTTGAAATTTAAATAATTTAAAAAATAAATAAATGGAATAAATATTAAAATATATTAATTTATAATAGAATATAAATTACAATTAATAAAAAAAAATTAATGGCCGACTCTATCTAAACGACCACCGGTACCACATTGTGGAGGATGCGCGCGGCGACGAGGTCTACGACGAGGTTGCTGAGGTGTGTCCGATCTTTGGGCGTTGACTTGTGGAAGAGGTATTTGTTGGGACGGCCCCGACGTATCAGATAAATTTTGAAGCATTTGACCCTAATAGTCGGGAGTCCACTATCAACGGCTTTCCGTAATTAAGCCCAATGCCCATTTCTTCGTAGGATTGTCGGGGAGGTTGGGTGGAGTATGGACGGTATGGTTGTTCGAATTGGTACATCAAATCGGGTTGAAAACGATGTGTTGGTTGTTGTGGGGTTTGGTAGTCAAATAGTGGATAGGTTGAGGGGGTACGGTCAGAAGAGTTATCTGGGCTATAGGTAGAGGGGGTAAGGTCAAAAGACGTATCTGGGCTATATTGGTAAGGTTGTTGTTGTGATTGGGTTGGTGGCATGTACGGGTCACGGTAAGGATGTTGTTGTTGATGTTGAGCATTTGGTGGCATGTATGAGTTATGGTAAGGCTGTTGTTGTGGATGTTGGGTATTGGGTTGTTGTTGTGTGTTTGAGGAAGAAGCACGTTGCCTTGGGTCAATCAAATAGGTCAACTCAGATAGAAATGGTTGTGATGTTGTAACCGACCTAAACCAAGTCATATATTGATAACTTGGCCTAACCCCTTCCACAATATGGTCGGTTAAGATGTGTTGCCTTCTGTTCTTCCAATGCTGACACATCTCCTTCGCAAACTCCTTCCAATGACCGATACTCCATTGTGAATCCACCCGTTGCTGATGCCACTGTCCCAATGATGCCGGAGCATCTGGAATATCCTGATGCATCCTAAATTGTAGCTTCACCCGGTCACTTTGGTGCATCTCCACGGTAGTGAACCTAATGATGGGTGTTTTGGATGTCCACATAGCAGCATCATCAGCGTTGGGCTGGTGGTCGAGACCCTCGTACGACATCCAGACAAACTACAATAACAATATACGCAATGAGAAATACAAGTTTATGCATATAAGTTAGACAAAGTAAAGGTAGATAAATTACATCATTTGGCCCAATGTGTTCGATGAGATTACGGTACACGATTATGGAGTTCCTGAGACATCTTTGATAATTCATCCCCGGAACAGACCACCTAAAAAAAGAAACACATGTAAGTTAGACTCTAAGATACATCGTACAAATTATTAAGTTACAAAGAAACTTTGGTTGTAAAATAGTCTTGAAAATATACTTACTCGTTAGCATATGGGAATGTAAACAGATTACGGTTGACTGGAGCAAGCGTTGGCATCCTGGACCAACCCCACGCTTGAAGGAGATAGGCGCAGGCATAAAAAGTACAGGAATTGTTTTTTGCATTTTTACATAGTGCACTATATAGATGGGCGAGGACAGCTGATCCCTAACTATATTTGCACACTTTGTTTATGTTATGTAGCAACGATAAATACATAATATTTACAGTATTTTCAGTGCCCTCTGGAAATAAAAAATGACCAAACAAATTAAAATATAACACCGAGTTTTGAGTATTTTCTCATACTCGGTGGACTCCTCACTTAAGACAATA